AAAGGTGGCATACCCACCTCTGGCCCAGACACACTGGAGACCTACATCGGGGCCATTACAAGGCCTCAAAACGGTGCCATAATCCGATACTAGAAAACCTGAAAACATGTTGTGGTATGGCAAACTCACCAGTGGTAAGTGCCTTCTCCACGTCCACTAAAGTCAAGGACACAACCTCGCGAAAGTAATAATCCTCAAGGATCTGAATAGTTACGCTCGGACTGCCCTACCAGTCTGCGGATAATAACAGCCGTTACTAGAGGGTCAATTAGTGCCCAAAGCACTCTGCAAACTCTGCCAACAACCTAGCAAGTAAAACATGGATACTCTATTGGACGGACGATCACCTGGGACCCCCGTGCAACCTCACTATGTCCGAATATACAAGTCGGCAAGATGATCTACCGAATCTCTCACGCGCATAGGAAATGAAAGTGCGCCGACTTAGTCAACCGATCAACAACCACGCCAAAATAGCATCACTACCGGCTATCCGTGAGTCCTCGGAAGACTCCACCGACAGAAGTCCTATAGTGACATGCTTCCGACTTCCACTCCGCAATAGGCAAGGGTTTGCAACAAACCCGCTGGCCTCTGATGCTCGCCTTCACTTGCTGGCAAGTTAAGGCACTTCGAGTACGAAAACAGCCACATTCTCCTCGTTCATACCCGCCACCAAAATTGGCGTACCACCTAAAAATCCCGATACATAGTTAGTGCTTCCGCCGGAATGCACCCGCAAGGACGTGATGGTGAACACTCTCGGAGTAACTCCTCTCAGGCAAGACTCGCGGCACAAACAAACGGTCTCGGTATCTCACACTCAAGTCAGGATAACTGTCAAACCCTTCTCCAATCCGTTCCCACTTGAGAATCTTCCTCTCGGAGGGATTCTACCTCCAAGGTCACCTCTCTGTGCCTCTAACACTCGTGTCACAAGTGTAGGTTGCGCAACCAACAGAAAACAAGGGCCGCAGCCTCAACGGTTCGCCCAGTAATCCGCAAATCAAACCTCGCCAAAGTGCTCTCCCAACATCTCCCATTCTCGGATGGATATACTAGCTACAATCACTTAATGGATTTTCCTACTAAGGGCATCGGCTCACACATGGCCTTTCCCGTAATGAGTAGCTGCAACTCAAGAATCATAAATACCTCAAATGAACTCCATCCATTCCTCGTGCCTCGATTCAAGTCTCTCTGTGTCAAACAGATAACTTCAAACTCTTGTGGTCCGAGAACAACCCTCGACCTCTCACCATAAAGTAGTGCCTGCCCAGTGCCAGATTTTAAGGGTAAAAATCACAGCCGCTAACTCTAGGGTCGTGTGTAGGGGTAATTCTTCTCGGTGCATTTTTCAACTGACTTGTGAGCCATAAGCCTACCACTTTCCCTTTGCATCAACACAACAACCCCAACCCTCTCGTGAGGCATCAACAGTAAACCGCATAAACCCAACCCTCTCTCCGAATAATCAACACATAACCGAGTGGTGGTCAATCTAACTTTTTTAGCTCTTGGAAAACGACTTTTCACAAGTCTCACTCCACACAAACTTGACTCCCTTCCGAAGTCAGCCTAGCCAAGCATGGCGACGCTAAACTCTATGGATGAAATTTCTTTCACAAACCGGCGGTTAATTACCCAGCTAATCTCAGGAAAACTGAGCGGAGTATGCGAACTTACATCGTCGTTAGGGGTCGTGTGTCCAATTCTTGCACTGCCTAATTCTGCAATCTTGGATTGCATCACCAGACACGCTTCCCCGTGATTACCGTCACGCTGCCTAAGAATTTGTACTTCCCTCAGCAGAACTGCACACCTTTCCCATAAACTCTGGCATACAGCCTATGGGCTCTAAGCAACTAAGCACCACTCTCAAGTCGGTTTCCTCTAGTGAGAGCTTCCTAGCACTCTACAGCTATTAGGTCGGTACTTGTATTTATTATACTTCTGGAGTGTATATTATGTTCTCAGATCACTCCGCGTTTTGTTGTATATGCAGGAAAAGGCAACTGAGAGAGATCTTTGCGAGTATATTAGCGATCAGTAATAACAGGCACAACGGGAAAAGGATCCCGGTTCATCAGAGTCCATAAGCACTGCCGTGCTTGGTAGTTCCCAAAAGATGGCATCACCAGAAACTGCATAGTGGCCATACCGCGTAAACAGAATGCCGTCTTCGGAATATCCTCCTCCCTGACCCGTCAACTGGTTTATGGTGGTAACTGGCCGACTCCTCAGTGTCATGCTTAGAGAATATCAACGGAAAGCCCGTTAAAGTCACTGGCCTATAACAGGTGGCTGCATTATAGTGTGCGGGGCATAGGTACTTATTCTGAACGGAACTATGCCATATGTGCGAGTGTAGACGTCGGAGAGTTCTGATACAGCAACTCAAGGCACCATCTTTCTTTTTCTAAAGAGTGTATATAAGCTATTCCGAAGAGACACATCCGCTGGCGAGTGAGGCACGAATATGCAGCAGCCACGCTCAGAGGCTGACATGATGATCGGAATTTATACGCATATCCACCACTAACCAGTGGGAGTAGCTGAGAGGTTTAATCTCATATTCCCACACATGCATGGGCAAGACAGCGGAGTGCACACTAACATTGCTCATGGGTCCCGCTGCAGTGCGGCAGGGTACCGATTCTATACATAGAGAACCCGAAGTCGTATCGCGGAGCTGCCATCGTGCACTTGACTAGATATATATATTCGTCCGCACACCGAAGCTATCATAAGAGGAGCAGCACGCCATATCGGCGTTCTCCATGATAACATATATGTCCAAACACGAGGAGCATAACA